AGAATCACAGAATGATTGATGTTGGAAGGGACCTCGGGAGGCTACCTTGCCCAAGCCTGCTGCTTAAACTGGGACACTTGGAACTCTGGACCATCTCCACACTTCACCACCCCTATGGCAACCTGTGTTAGTATGTGATCATCCTCAGAGTAAAAAGGTTTTTCCTGATGTTCAGAGGAAACTTCACATGTTTCAATTTGTGCCCATTTCTTCTTGCCACTGGGAACAAATGAGAAGAGCCTGAGCCTATTCTCTTTGCACCTTCCTTCAGGTATAGCACAATAAGATATTCTCTTCTCCAGGCTTCAGTCTCCACTCTCCCAGGTTTTTCTCTTAAAAAATGCTCTAGTCATTCTTATAACCCTCTGCAGGACACTGTTCAGTAGCTCTCTATCCCTCTGGTACTGGGAACATATTGAGCCATACTCTTCCTATAAAATTCTATAATATCTTTTCAGATATTTAAAATGAAAGGCAAATATAAGATGCTTTGAGATTTATTCTCCTTGTCTTTGCCTTGCCTTGCCTTGCCTTGCCTTCCCTTGCCTTGCCTTGCCTTGCCTTGCCTTGCCTTGCCTTGCCTTGCCTTGCCTTGCCTTGCCTTGCCTTGCCTTGCCTTGCCTTGCCTTCCCTTGCCTTCCCTTGCCTTCCCTTGCCTTCCCTTGCCTTGCCTTGCCTTCCCTTCCCTTGCCTTCCCTTGCCTTGCCTTGCCTTGCCTTGCCTTGCCTTGCCTTGCCTTGCCTTGCCTTGCCTTGCCTTGCCTTGCCTTGCCTTCCCTTGCCTTGCCTTGCCTTGCCTTCCCTTGCCTTCCCTTCCCTTGCCTTCCCTTGCCTTCCCTTGCCTTCCCTTGCCTTCCCTTCCCTTGCCTTGCCTTGCCTTGCCTTGCCTTGCCTTGCCTTGCCTTGCCTTGCCTTGCCTTCCCTTCCCTTCCCTTCCCTTCCCTTCCCTTCCCTTCCCTTCCCTTCCCTTCCCTTCCCTTCCCTTCCCTTCCCTTCCCTTCCCTTCCCTTCCCTTCCCTTCCCTTCCCTTGCCTTGCCTTGCCTTGCCTTGCCTTGCCTTGCCTTGCCTTGCCTTGCCTTGCCTTGCCTTGCCTTGCCTTCCCTTCCCTTCCCTTCCCTTCCCTTCCCTTCCCTTCCCTTCCCTTCCCTTCCCCTTCCCCTTCCCCTTCCCCTTCCCTTCCCCTTCCCTCCCCTTCCCATTCCCTTCCCCTTCCCATTCCCTTCCCCTTCCCTTCCCATTCCCTTCCCATTCCCTTCCCATTCCCTTCCCATTCCCTTCCCTTCCCATTCCCTTCCCTTCCCATTCCCTTCCCTTCCCATTCCCTTCCCTTCCCATTCCCTTCCCTTCCCATTCCCTTCTCATAATATTAACTTGATCCTAAGACAGATCAAAAGATCATGGGAGAGAGGCAGTTAAGGTTTTTCAGCTTGCAGGACATTTATATAATAAAAACATCCAGACAAGGCCCCCACTTTACAGTTACCCATCCTGTGACAGACTACAATTTCTGAGGCTTTTTTACATCTAAGCCTTCCAGTTGGGATTCTCCTACAAAGGAAGAAGACCTGATATGTAATTCTGCTGCTGCTAACAAAATAATAACCAACCATTTGCAAAAGCAGTGTTGGATTAGTGTCTTCACACAGTTTGCATGCAAGTCTACAGGGGGCTCCAAAACTCTTCACAGTGATCTATTTTGGATTAAATTACTGTAATGCAATTTATATCAAAAACAATTTCTGAGCATATCCATTTTTCTTCCTACACTTAATCAGGAATGAAGGAATGAAAGAAGGGAATAGAGGAAGGAAGAAAAGGATGATAGTGCATTCATTGATTCATTCATCATTTATTTTTCCATTTTTAGACTGTAAGATTATTTCATCTGCTCTCATATGAATTATAATTAATAGCATTAATAAGGTGCTTAGCCTACATTGAAAGAAAATTATTGTTATTAGCCAGAGAATAATTCTCTAAGGCATGTCACATGCAGTGACATTATAACTGTGAATGCTTTCAACATTAAATTCTCTTATACACACATGAGTATGAAAAAGCAATAGACATATATGGTCCCAAAGCTTATAAAGAAGCTTTGTATTTTGGATTTTTGACATGGATTGTAATCATACTCTTCAGTATTGGTTTAACAAGTCACAAATATGAAATATTAAAAGTATTTTATTCATGCATCTTTGGGGCTTTTCTTTTCCTAGTATGATGATTGCCTTTCAATTGAATAATTGTCAGTTTTGGTATTGATTCTCAATAAATAAACAAATGAAAATGGAACTGTTTTATATTTAGAATTTTGAGTCTTGAGTGAACTTTTCCATCTTACAAGAAAAGCTTTTGTTTTCTCTCTTGAAAATGGCACCTAAATTCTTTCTGATTCCATCTGATCTCTCAAATGAGGAATAATATTTCAGTTGCATTCCATTGTTCAATCTTTATGTCATCTTCATCCCTGGTATCTGGTAGTACTTCTACTTGCAACTTAAGTCATCCACAAGGGTCTTCCAACAACATGTCTCAGTCAGCAGAAAGCACTGTAAATTTCTTTTGGAATTCAGTGAAAGTTGGTGTATTTTTCCTACCAAAGATTTCTTATGTTGTTCTATTATGTAGTTTTGAACACACTCATATTTTCTTCATATGCTGAGTTGTCTTTACTTAGAAAGTCTTGCAGCATAGTGTTATAGCTGAGCTATATTGTTCTTAATGCTTTTGTAAGTTACATTCATTTATGCGTAAATACTAATTTCTGTCAAGTGAATGATAAAACTTCCCTTTCTGAAAAGCTCACAGTATTCACTTTTTCATCTTTACTAGACAATTTTTTAAAGATTTTTTTACTGTAGCATCTTCAGAGGCATTTCCAAGAACATATTGGTTACTGATATCAGCAGTAAAGTGAATCAATCTACTTTCTCTGACATAGCTGATGCATTAAAACTGGACTTTTCAGTGGAGGTTAATGGAAATAAGTACTCCCTTCAACTGAAAAAAAGAAAAGCTATATTATTTTTCCAGATTCATTTCAAGATGACAGCCATGACTTTTATTATTTTTTCATCATGCTAATAATGGAGGAGAAAGTATCAGAGGAACTAAACACATTTTCTACATCCCCGAGCAAATTTGCCATCTCTCATCAACAAGATCTTACAAGACATAACCAAAACTGGAAAAAAAACAAACCAACTGAAAAAAAAAAAACCAACCCAAAACAAAAAACCTGTTACTTTTGTACAAGTAAATGACAGTTGTGGATATGTGAATCTGTTTCCTGATTAAGCTAGCTCTACTGTCCCTGATTCTCCTGTAAAGAATAGGAAATACCTGAGGAATCTTGTGTATCTTCTCCAAATTTGTTCTTATTTCCCATATTATCTCCATTAAACTTGTATGTCTGATTTAGCCCAAGCTTTTTAAATAGCATGCTTCTGTCCTACAGTTGGTTTATTTGACACATCTCCTAAGAGCCTGTGGTCATTCTGGAAAAGAGCAGTGTTTTTCAACCTGTTACAACCTCTGCATCACTAAATAGCCTGAAACAGCAGCATGTCAGCTACCCCGCTTTCCAACTTGCTGTGTAAACCCTAGAGACACTCTCTGGGGCAGCAAGGAAACAGCAAAATGTAATAGCAGCAGCAAATAACCAATTAGGCTAGAATAAGGTAAATATTGCACAACAGAAAAAGAAACAGGAAATCAAACACAGAGAGTAAAGCCAGCTAATGCCCAGTAGATTGCTACAATGTGGATGCAAATAGAAATCATAACACTTGTATTCTTTTATCTAATGCAAGTACCCAATTGACAAAACGTTGGTGGCCACTGATAGACATGGTAAAGATTCAGGGCTGATAGAACTGGAATAAAACAAAACCTGCTGTCTCTTTACAAAACACGATTTACAAAAGACTATTGTTCTGTTATGTCCTACACTGAAAACCCTTCCTAAGCACATTACAGTTTCCCACAACAGTTCTCCCCATTCCTGGAAATACTACAATAAGTACATTAGAAATCACTAAGTATGCTGTGCTGCCTTTTGCCCACTGTTTCTGCAACTAGAATTCTTGATGCAAAATATGCAAAGAATACATCTTCAACTGCACATGCTGACATAACTTATGTACGCACTAAAGCTAAATATCTGTTTATAACAATTTAGTCAGAAAGCTTTCTTGAAGAAAGCCAATTTGCATTGAGCTGTACTGAGAAGAGAATCAGCTTGGGGTATACAGGAAGGAGGACCATAAATTCATCTTTGGTACATGCAATATTGCTATTCTACCATATGATTATTTACAAATATGAACTGTCAGTTGTTTTCCAAGATGATTATCTGTGGAATCAGAGAAACACTTCTATACATCCAGAGATACAGGAAGCCTGTTGAAAGATTTAAGGACCAATTCCTCTCCAGCCTCAGAGAGAATGGAAGGCTCTGAAAGGCAAATTCTTTTTTTTTGGACTATTCTTCATAAACAGAAGCGGACCTCATCTTAATTTCAGTGATTCAGAGAACTCACTGAAATAATTAGCAAATTAGTTTTGCCAACAGTGCATATTATAGACCTAATTTTAAAATATTTTGATTGTGATATCATATGCTAACTTTTAAAATAGTAGATTGTTTTATAAAGATATTCTGAAAAGGCCAGATGCACTCAGAAGCTCAGAGGGTTAGATTAAACTACTCAGCATCAAAAGTCCACAGTCAGATGTCCACAGCTCTGCTAAGTCCATACTGTATAAACCACCTTCACAGTCAAAGAAGGGAACTGCTTTTGTAGGACACAATAAATTTGGCAATAAAGTAGATATTGCAAAATCTCATATTATTGTGCTTTCTAAATGGCTATTTTTTTTCTTAAGTAAAAAGGACAGATATACTATAGATACAAATTGCTGGTCTCAATTTGGTGAACATGAACACAAGTCATCAAGAATTCCTTCCACTGCTGTTAGAAGCATATGTAACATACCTACACTCCAGTCCATTTCCTCCACTGTATCACCATATAAACCATGCTTGCTCTTTCCTTTGAAATTTTCTGAAGCATAGAGAGCAGTATGGACATGAAGATAAGACAGGACGAGAAGAAATGGTGTATCAGTGTTCCTGGAAAACAAAACCACAAACCCCTAGTGTATTTTATAATAAGATTTCTACAAATAAATTTTTATTCAGTAGAGTCCACCCTGAAAAAAAAACAACACCAAAACAAAACAAAAAAAAAAGGTGAAAAGGAATACTGTAATTGATTACAGCATAATTCTGAATAAACACAGACTCAGTAAAAATGCCACTCTTACTGAATTGAAAGCAAAAATAAATTATAAAATCTGTCTAAATACTATTTGTGAAATATATTGAAAAATGACTTGTTTAAAGACAGTAATCTAGCAATTTCTGAATACAAATACCTCTCCACATTTTACAAGTATATTTTTAAAAACCTGAATACAATTTCTGTTTAAAAACATACCCTCAGCACTACATATCCACGAGAAACACAATTTCTTTCCTCACAAAGTCATGTGGAAGCTGATCAACTAAACTGTTATGGGACCTGGGTCTTTATTTTGGACTAAGGTATATGACCAAATCTCTTTTCTTTTAAAGCTCTGTATGTGCATGCATGTGACTGTACATAACCTCAAAGTCACACTAGCATAAACATTTTTGTTCTCAGAGTAATGAACAGTCTCCATTGTCTTCTATTTCCTAAACAGATTCAAAAGAAAGGGTGCAATAAATAGATTCTGTAAATTTTGCTGTTCATGTGATCTGTCAACACGATATTTATAATCAATTCCAGCAGGCTGTGAAAGCACAGCTCAAACAAGTACTTCTCCTTATGCATTATTTATACTACTTTACTTAAAATTGTGCCATTCTAGCCAAATTTACTGCTATATGCTCTAACAGCACTTGCAGTACATTATATATATATTGTAAATATCAGCTGAACCACAAAAGTACTACCCACAAAACTTGTCTGGATGTCACCTTAAAGCACCCAGCTAATTGCAGACTACTTTTAGTTTATCATATTTTCCCTCACCAAGCTGTGGTGGATAACACCTGTGATTCATATCAACCTCAAATAGAGACCATATATTTCCTCAAACAGTTGGTTCATCCACCCTTTAAAGAGGAGACCCCCAAGACAGGCATGCTCATAAAAAACACTTATTTAAAATTAACAAAAAAATCCTAACATTTAGAATTTGAAAACAAAGGGTTTTTAGTAGAAGATATTAATCTGATATTAATACTTTCCTCTTAAAAAAATTAAGTTTAATCTAGTATATTTATGATCTATTTTTCCTCTCTCCTTTGTTGAATCTGTTTTTTCACAAGTTGCATGGTTAAAGCTTTTTTCTACTGGCATATGCAGTAGTAGAGAAACACTGAATGGGAAATTTTTATCCATATTACTCATTACTCTTCATTTAAAAATTCTCATTTTTTAGGAAACCCAGAAGAAAAACCACATTCCTCATATGGAAAATTAATAAAAAACCTTTTAATTCTCTTACAAGCATTTGTGCATTGATCCTGTATTACTTTTTAATATAAAGTACTGATCCAAAGAATTTAAGACATGTTTTGCATAAAAGATATACTTTCTACTGAGTTGCTTGTTGTTATCTGAAAGGTCATATAGTTGATAAATTTTCACAATTTTAGCAGCAAATAATAAGAGATCCCTGAATCAATTAAAATGGCTGAAAATGTCACCAATTGAGGTAAAAAAAGACATATACTTAAAAGTTACTTATTATATATATATATATATATATATATATATATATATATATATATATAAATGTAATACTGACTTTTCACTAGAGAACTTTACTGCAAGGCAGATGATTTTTGTTTTACAAGTTGCACTTTTTAATGCCTGGGATTATTGTAGATTTTTTCCTTAAACACAGTTCACTGAATTGACATTAATATACAAATTCTAGGGTAAAACACCATTTTTAGTAAAAAAAGTAAAAAAAGTAAAAAAAATTTATTTTTTACTTTTATCACTGCAGGCTATATTTAGTTTTCATGCAAACTGCCTTGTTCTAATGCCATAGAGACACTGCATTCTCATAACTGCCTACTTGCTTTGCTAAAAGTATCAATAGCTTCCATTACAAATGTTATATTCAAGACATAATAATTCAAGTTTATTTTGTTTCTTGAACTTAGAAAGATCTAACTTTCATGAAGAGCCATCAAATCAATGACTGATATGGAAGGGCACTACATCATTCTCTTTTTTCCAAGTAAAATTGACAGCTTTTGATTGACAGCTTGCTGTCAGGTGGAAAAGTGTCTCACCTATTAATACTCTATGAAAGATCAGAGGCAGCTATTTATCTCCTGCCAAAACACTTTGAGGAGAATCATGACTAAATACCTTTACTCTGACCTTGAAAATGGAATAACAATACCAGCTAGTAGGCAGGAGAGAAATTTGACAATAGCAGCTTAACTCCTGAACAACTTCAAAAAACAGCTCTTTCAAAAATGCATTTACACTCTCTTTTACACAACCCAAACACAGAGAATCTCCTTTTCAAAAGATCTGAGATTTTTTTTATCATTACATGAGTCACACAGTTTTTTCAATTTATTGAGTAGCTAGAGAGATTACATACATCTGACATAAGATATTCTTCAGGGTGTTTTTAATGGATCTTGAAAACATCTTAAAGCATCACATTGCTGGTGACTCGTCTGCATTGCAGAGTACTGGGTTCTTCTTTTTTCTTTATACTATTCAAGGATTCAGCTCAGGTTTGAGCTGTAAAAAACAGCTTTAAAGTGCATGAGAGAGCAATTAAAACTAATCTGACTTTGTGCTTCAAACACAAGTCTTTTAACTTTTTTCCTGCAAAACTGCTCTAAATGCTTGCTGCTTTGAAAACTCCTTGGGCAATCGTTTGCTTTTCCATGCAGTTCAGTGCCACAGTTGAAACATTGCAGAGAAGGAACACCACCCAGAGGTGACTGGACAAGCCCAAGAGTTTGGCCCATAAGAATTTAATGAATTTCAACAAAGCCAGGTGCAAAGGCCTGAACCTGAGTCATGTCAATCCCAAGCACAAATGCAGGCTGGATGAAGAATGGATTGGGAGCAGATCTGAGAAAGATTTGGGGGTGTTGGTTGTCAAGAAGCTCCATATTAGCTGGCAAATATGATCTTGCAGCCCATAAAGCCAGCTGTATCCCAGGTCTCAACAAAACCAGCATGACCAGCAGGTAATCCTTGAAGACTTCCAGGGATGGGGCATCTGCAACTGCTCTACCTGTTCCAGTGCTTCACAGCCCTTGGAGTAATAAATTTCTTCATAACACATCATCTAAAACTGCCCCCTTTCAGTTTAAAACTATCACCTGTCACTATCTGTCCTTATAAAAATTCCCTCTCCCTCCTTTTAAAAGGCTGCAATGAGGTCTCTCTTGAGCCTTCTCTTCTCCATGCTGAACAACTTCAGCTTTTTCAGCCTGTCCTCACAGGAAAGGAGTTTCAACCCATTGATCATCTTCTTGATCCTCTTCTGGACCCACTGTAAGAGGTTCACATCTTTCTTGTGCTGAGCACCTCACACCTGGATGCAGTACTCTAGGTGAAGCAACACTGTGTCGACACAAGCAGATAGAAACATTTCCTTTCCAGTAATTTCCCTTTTACTAAAAAAAGTTCCTATTCAGTATCCCCCCAGCAAATAAATTAATTAGTGCTTATTCCCCATGGATTGGATGCCTCCTCTACTTCCAGATTAGATCACCAGTAGGACACTGCTCTTTGTGATAGCAGTGTAATGCACTTCATTAAATCTTCTTGTTCCTGCAGGAGGAAAAGCCAAATTTTGACTTAGTTGGACCAAAGCAGGACTCTTCTACATTATGGATTTTTTTTTTTTATTATTCTGACTGCTAACAGTGCTAAAATTATTGTTAGTCTGAATGAATTTATGAATGAATGTTTCTGTCCTGTCTTTTATAATACACAACTTCAAACACAGATGTCATATTTTCAATTTTTTCAAAATCAGAAAGAGAACTCCAGACCACTGGGGGATAACTTATAAGAACCATAAATGGTGTTGAAAATGAAACAGAGAGACGGGGGAAAATGTAAATATATAGAAAAATCTGACTCCTTCTAGTAGATATTAAAAGTAGAACTTGCAGATACCACTCTATCATTTTTTTATATGATTCTTCTTTGCCAATAGACAAGAAGCTTCTACTTTTCCAATTTCATGCCTTCATTGCTTCCTTTAAATACATAATGTAAACAATTCACATATGTGTTTTTATTTCCTTTCTAGATAACCTTTTATTTTCCCTCTCCTAAAGAATATCTGGAAGCATGAAGAAAAAAAATACCATCTAGCACAAATTAAACTCATTACTAAAGGCTCTCATTCACAAAGCTTTGGAGTCCAGTATACAGATCAAGTTCTATTTCAGAAGTGTTCCACTGACCAGTCTGCCACTCACTGCAGAACTAGTGAGGACCCTAATTATTCTTAAATGATCTAAAGATTTGATAAAGCCCTATACAAACCCACACCTTCTTCCTCTTACCTTCTTGTTCAAAAGGCATAATCAGAGGTCTGAGAGAAAAGGCATGAAGATCCAGTATAGTTGCTACTGATTATAAGTTACTAAATTTTTTAATATATGCGCACATATACATAATATGTATAGAGATACACAAATTCTTTTCTATAATTTTTATTTTGCTGTAAACTCTAAAGAATATTCTTGTAGGATTCATAAAAACATTGTATTTGAGAACTGTAACTCCAGTACAACATGAGAACTGCTAGATCTTAAGACCTAGTGATATGTGGAAAAACTCTAAATCAGTCTGCTACAGTAGACAACAGGGGTTGCAACAGTGATTCAAGGACTAAAATAGAATAGATAAAGAGAAAATGTATAATCTATTCACTGTTATAAAATTTTTAACATTATGCTTAAGCAATCTATGACTGGTAAAACTAGGCAAGAAGATTCTCCAAATTCACCTTCACCACAGCTTTTAAATATAATCATGTTAGTATTTAAATACTGCTTTCCAGAGACTAGATTTCATTAGACTTAAAAAAAAAATATTATTACTTGTGATCAGGTATAGAAATTTCTCAGAGTGGTATTCTGTATCACAGAGTGGTCTTTTTATGTTGTTAATTTCAGATACACTAGAAAACAGACCGTGGCATATTGCAACATTGGATTTTCTGTGCAGCTGGTCATTGAAAGGCATGCTGAAGATGTATGAGTGACAACCACATTGAATTTAACATGAAACAAGTAGCATCCATTTGACATTCAATTACATTGTAATAGCAAGAGAGCAGTCTGTTAGGTTTTTGACATGTAAACACACTTCCTCTCAGGAAAAAGTGATTAGAATTAACATACACAGAGCTGACCTGCCCCCTTACAATTAGGATAAGCAACTAAACTACTACCTGTTTTAACACACCAGATCTGACACTTGTAATTGCATACATTCTTCTTCAGTGCCATTTTTGGCAACTTTGAATTTTGTATTTGCTCTCTTTCAGTCTATTAAAGAGCAAACAAAAATTGTAATATGCATGCACAGGACTAAGGAAGGTAAAATACCATACCACCTTTCCAAAAGCCAGACCAAAGTAAGCACAACAGCATGTAGCTGTACACTATGAAGACATTATAAGACTTTAAAAATACAAATTCTAATTATTATTTTGTGGTCTCTGTGCCCAAGCAGCCTCCAGCCACCACAGCACCCACCAGTCTTTCTCTGTTCACATAGAGCAGGTCCAGCAGGGTCCCTCCCCAGGCTGTTGCACTCTCCAGCTATGTTAGGAAGTTGTCTTCCATACACTCCAAGAACCACTTAAACAGTTTCCTGTCCATTGCACTGTATTTCCAGCTCTGGTAAGCTGAAGTCCCCCACATGAACAAAGGCCAGGACTCCTGAGACTTCTCCCAGCTGCTTACAGAATATTCTGTCTTCCTCTTCATCCTGTCTGGTAGGTTCATGACATACTCCCACCTTGGTATCTACCTTGTTGGCCTGTTCCCTGATCCTTACCCATAAACACTCAAACTTATCACTGCCATCATTAAGCTTTGGATAATCAAAACACCCCTTAATATAAAGGTCTACCCCATCGCCTCTCCTTCTTTGCCCATTCCTTCTGAAGAATTTGATGTTTATACAAGTCATATAACTGAAAATTATTGAGAAACAGCTAGAAAAGAGAATGTCTGGAAGTCCATCACCTAAACTCTGAAGAACTTCTAGAGGTAATAAAGGCAATAGGTAAATAAACTTACATAGATAAAACACGGGAAAATTAATATATATTCATATACATTGCATATAAATGTATATGCAATGTATATGAATATATATTAATAAAAGTAACTTTTTAAAAGTATAAAAAAAGCTTTACAGGAAATACCAGTGCTGGTGAAGATTGGACCTTCATCACATATTTATTGCAAAGTTATTTAACCAACTAAAATACACATGATATCTGATGGTCTTTAGTTTGATGATGAAATGTGTATTCAGACACAGGTAAGGTGGAAACTTGAATTCTTTAACTTCAGGATTGTTAGTACTTGGGTATATTTGTAGACAAGTATTAACAGTGTACATGACTGAGATTGCTGCTTAATATCTCATCTAAAGAAAAGGAGACTGTGACAAATTCAGTGTTCAAACATGTGTTTAAAGGGCTGTAAAAACTGGAATTACAAGAATGCTGTTAATTGTGACCCTTTGCTTCTGCATTCTGGTTACCTCTTAGTGGTCATTCACCTACAAATGGCCAAAGTTAGTGGATTAGTCATAAAAGCAATGGTCTACTGGTGCTCTGGAGTTAATAGGTATGAACTCTATCATTCCAGAACTAGTGTGTCAAAGCAAATATTGGTTTTGTTGCTCACACTAATACATGGGGCAGATCAGTTCAGTGAATATTAATCCAATTAGTCATATCCCCAGGAGTAAGGTTTATGGTCATATACTTTGCATGTTCATTCATTAAAGGGCACAGTTAAGATTGCTCAAATGCTCTAATTGCTTCTCAATACTTTAACATGTTTGGATATTCTCTAACATAACATTGACTATGGAGAGTCTGGGTTATAATTCTCTGTAATTGCAGCAGTCCTGTTACAAAGTTTGTTGTAAATAATTAATATGTGCTATTAACCTCAACTTCAATTTAACATCAGTGTTGTCTGAAAACTATACTGACATTTGGGGCCAAGTGCCTAAATGATGTAAAGCTACTTACCTCTAGCTGGGTCAACAAAGCTGTGCTGACTTAGATTATATATTATTTTGTCAGTTCTTAACACTGGGGTCAAACAACAACACTAATCTACATGGTAACACTGTGCACATTATACATATTAATACAGTCAAAAGAGTTACTAGCTTTCTATCCTTGATTTCCATCTTGAACTCACCTATTTTGAGGCAGCCATTTTATTGTCATGGCGTTGAAATTAGTGAAACATTCATAGATACCCAAAACAGTATCACTACAGGCACTTTATATACTTGTAAATAGTGGAAGAATATACCAACATATAGTTAATGTACTTGAGAGTCTTTTGAAATCACCAAATGCTTGGTCACTAAGCATGTAATCACTCAACAGTTTTCAAATGCGTTTGTTCTTGTGTTTGTAATAACAAAGTACTTCACTGTTAAATTAGTTACAATGTATCTGAGAAGACATCTTTATCCCCATCACCAAGAGGAAATAAAGATGGTTTAGTTAATTTATAAATACTTATAAAAATGTTGATTGTTGGGAAGACTTACTCATTTAAGGAAATTTGTTATAAAAACCATTTTTTCAGTTTATTGTGTAGAAACGGCCACATCAAATATTCATAAGGATGGAAATGATAAAAAATTGCAGTATGATATCAAGATTTTAGATAAATATTTTTTCTTGCTAATAGCTAGAAGCACATGCACTGTGCAGTCATTAAATCTACAAAATGTAGCTGCAGTTTCATGGTACGTGTTTTCATCCAGCAATGACACCATTTGCACGTATTCACAGAAACTAATGCTGCATACTTTAAAGACTAGTAATTCAGGGACGTAGAATAGAAATTCAGGATAATAGTAATTCAATATCTTAGAATATGATTTTACCTTGATTTAGTATTTTTTTAAATGCTGCAAATTGTGTCAAAAGTGGTGGAGAAAAATACATACACATATTTTTTTCCAGAAGTCAAATTGATTTTTTTTTCTGTAAATATATTGATTTCTATTTTAGAATATACAGATGTATACTTTTTTGACTTAATCCCACTAAGACCCCTTTGATGACAATTGTGGCAAAGTAATTAACTTAGCAAAAATGATCTATGACTTGAGTTTTGTAAACCCAATATTTAGGTGGCCCAATATGATGGCTATTAAAAACAGTTTTCAAAGCACCTGTTTATTTCACAGAATCACAGAATACAGAATGGGTTGGAAGGGACACCAGTGGGATCATCTGGTCAAACCTCCCTACCTCCCTCAGGGTCATCCAAGAGAATGTGGCACAGGATTATGTCCAGACAGCTTTTAAATATCTCCAATGAGGGAGACTACAAAATTCCTCTGGTTAACTATTCCAAGGCACTGTCACCTGCACAGGAAAGAAGTTCTTCCTCATATTCAGCTGGAACTTCCTGCGCATCAGTTTCTGCCCATTGCCTCTTGTTCTACTGCTTGGCATTACTGAGCAAAGCCTGGCTCTGTTCTCTTGACACTTGCCTGTAAACACTTATGTACAGTGACGAGGTTTTCTCTCAGTTATCTCTTCTTGAGGCTGAACAGACCCAGACACCTCAGCCTTTCCTCATAAGACAGATGCTGCAGTCCCTTCATCAACTTTATTGCTCTCTCTTTTATGCTGGATCTGCTCCAGAAGCTCTGCATCTCTCCTGTCCTCAGGATCCCGGAGCTGGACACATTTAAATTGTGGCCTCACCAGGGCTGAGTAGAGGGGCAGAATCACCTCGCTCAACCTGCTGGCAATGCTCTCCCTAATGCACCCCAGAATCCCAATGGCCTTCTTGGCCCCCAGGACACACTGTTGGCTCATGGACAGATGGCTGTCCACCAGAAGCCCCAGGTCCTTCTCCACAGAGTTGCTTTCCAGCAGGTCACTCCCAGCCTGTCCTGGTGCCTGGGATTACTCTGTCCCTGGTGCAGAAGATAGCACCCTGATTTCTGAAAATCAGATCTTTTCAAAATTACTGTTATAAAAGTGGAGTAATCTAAAACACTAGTATCTTAAAACATTAGCCCTATGAATGCCTTTTAATGGATGCATCAACTCAGTGATGAAGAACATCTCTCTATTCCAAAAAAGTAATGAATTATGACTCTGCATTGTGCTTTCACAGAATTAAGTCACACCACAAAATATTCTTCACACATCAAGTAACATGAAATATGTAATAATAAAACATTTCCCTTTTTATAGAGAAATTAATAACATACCTGATAGGAGGAAACCAAACAGTCATTCCTACCAACAAGATTAACTTCAGTCATCTTTTAAAGGAAAAAAAATTACAGTCATATATAATGACATATTCCTTGTGCTCACCAGCTCATTTTCAGAAGCATTCTCATTATGAGATACCAATGTTAACTTACAGCACAGTTAGAAACCTACCTTTCAATAAAATGCATGGCTTCTTTTGTCAGCCTCTGAGTAAGGTTCTCATAGGACAGTGGCTGCTGGATAATCTGATGGTCCCTCATTAAAAAGCAGTTTAGTTGTCAAAAATTATAGAAGAAAAAAATCAAAACCATAAGTGAAATTGTGATTATTAACAAGAAGTAACCCAGTGCTTGGAAGGGTACTTTGAGAAGGCCAATGTACTGCCCTACTACCAAAGACACAAGGGCAATTCCAGTGATTTGGATTGGGAGAACAAGGCCTTTCTGAACACCTTTTAAAAAGACACTGCCTTGACCAGGTTTGCAGTCTCTAAAATTGGTCACGAGAAGGCCATAAAAGTAATCAAATCCATGACTGAGGGGGTGGTGACAGAAGTCATTACTGCTTTCACAGTTCATCCCAAGATGCCACTTTCCTAAAAAGAGAGAAGGACAGGGAGTATTTTCGTAGTTAAATCATCAAACTTACTTTTAATGTGCATTACTTCAAACATGAAAACTATCTGCCTGATAGTCAGATATCTGTTCCCAGAATTTATTGTGTGGGTCCCTATTTTCTATTTAAACTTTCTTTGTGCCTTCATCAAAGATTTTTTTTTCATGTCTCCCTCTTCATCTCAGTTAGAAATAGCTTAACATGGCTGCTGCTGAAGATCATTAAATTCTGAGTGGGTTAGCAGGTCGTTGAAGAGCAACAGAGTCCTGACACTTAACTTTGGAAATTAAGCATGTGTAATTGCCATAAGAAAATATTGTTTTGTAGCAGCTACTGATTGAAGAGGAAGAACAAATATGGAAGTACAAAATATATTTTCTGAAGTTTTTCTGACAAACAATTTGACTAGTTAAAAAAAAGACAAAGAATAAGAAAACAATAACAAATAGACAATAAATCAAGAATATGAAAATTACTAAAGCATTTCTTATTTAAATGATTGCAAAATCTCTGAAATTGCCAATATCCCTCGAAATACACATATATAGAGAGTAAGGAAAATTATTTTGTATTTATATATTTCATAGATATAAATTAAAAACAACAGTAACAAGTAAATTACTGTCAAATACAATCTCTCACAGCATTTTGTACCACTAGGAAATCACTCTAATTCTGCAATAATGTTGGACACTGTCTGACATAAGAAACCACTGAGCCTGATTTGCATTATACTAATACAATCTATATTCATGCTGATTATGGTAAGTATCTAGATAATTCATTCTATGACTCAGCTACAACCTCCTACCACATGCTTATGCATTGCTTAGCACAACAGACCTAATTGGTAGCTGTTATTTGAATCAAAATGCATAATTATAAAAAAATTCAAATTCAGTTAAGCTTATTGAGATGGATTATGGATAGAGCTATGCCTTTGCTCTCAGCAAGAAAATGTGCTGAATATTTTAAAGCACATGCTGGCCTTGACAAAACAGATGGCATTATATACTGCTGGGATAAACTTTATTTATTTTTCTGAATCAAACACCTAAACATGACCAGCATATTTCAGGGGTTGTTGAATGCAAAATAAATAAACAAGAAAATCTACAGACCCAGTAAGTCTTCATTCCCATAACTTGCCCCAAAGAAACACTTGTTTCAGAGAATTGAGAATACTCATGGCAGTAAATGCAAAACAGAAAGAAAGCATATATAGAATTTTTCCCCTTTTTCAAACCATCCCAGCTTTAACACATCTATAAGACTCAAACAGTCCTGAATATCTCCTCCTGGGTGTCCAGAACAGCATATTCATCCTGCACTTTTTCATTTGGCTGTGACAAATGCAGGTACTGCAGTACCAAAGAGGGTGAATATGGGGATCAGTTCTGCTTTTTTAAAATTTAGCAAATTAGCTGGGTGTTTTATTTCTCTTCCACAAATAACACAACTAAGTTAGAGGATGAGAATGTCATATGCCTAAGTTTGTCTGTCAACAAAGGTGAAGAAAAAGCTTGAAATCTTGAATCTGAATGCTTAGTTGAGTCCAGTTGTCCTCATATGTCTCTTGATGGTCCTAAGTTAAAAATAACTTCTGTATATCATCAAAGCAGGTATGAAACATTTTCAGGCCTGCTTTTGTGCCAGTGAAACAAATGCCTCTACACCTTTCTCATTCCATTCAGAACATTTTCCTGTCAGATGCCCCCTCACCTGAGGACGTATTCTGCTGGTAGTATTCTGAACAGAATGGTTCTGGTCACTATTTTTGACATGGTCAGTAAAAATTATTGTGGTCAATTAAAAAAACAAGCAGTACACACCATTGTACTGAAATTTCAGGAGTTATAATGGTGCTATAAAGGGCTAGGTAAGGCTGGAACTCTGATTTTCATTCCCAGCACTCAAAGATGCAGATTTTTGAAAATAAATGCTTCAATTTTTCTCTTATATTTGAATGAGTGTCTTAATGGAATAATCATAAAGCTAGATGGGTAACAGAGTGAGAATGAAACAACTGTCATCAAATTAGATAACTAATTTAAAGGTAGAGGCTTATAATCAGGAACATAAATGCTCTTCAGGCTTCAATTTTTTTTTTCTATTACATGTTAATCTCAAAGCATCTATAATTCAGTAAGAAAATATGAAAAAGAAACTCAAACAAATTAAGTATATCTTCAAAGTCACTTATGTAGTGGATTATTTAACTGGGTCTCAACTACTCCAGGATAGAAAAACCTTTCAATAACAAATTAGGGTGGGAAAATATAAGTTCTATTTTTATCAAAGCGGCTTCTTTAGCAAGCACAAAAAATTGTTCAACATCAAGACAAACTTGGGACTGATAAAAATATTTGTTAAGAAGCAATTTAAGCCAAACAAAGCAGAGACCAGGTCAGCAGGAAAAGCAACAGATGCCCCAGCTCAAATTATATCAGAACCTGTGACAGAATGACACAATTGCCATTCTCAAATGGTTGGGGAGATAGATGGTTTTGATAGATCCTGCACTACTCTGAAAAAGCATGTGAATGGCTGGGTCCACAATACATGTTTTGTTTCACTCCTTGTGACAATAACCCCTGCCTTGAGCTAGTGCTTGAACAGATTACTGTAATGTGCTTTAGATTCTGGGGCCCTTCTGAATCTGAGAGCAATGCAAAATGCTCTCATCTCTTTGCCAAGTGATGCTTCATAGAATGGACACTTCACACAAGCATCATAAGCATTTCAACTGATTCTACCAAGCTTTTGAGTGAAATTTATGCTGTTAATTGTAAATTATGAGTACCACAATAATTTGAGACCTAGGCTTATTTCTGTCTCCATCAGCCACAATTAAGACTTCTGCAGAGCGAAAGCAATGCAATGAAAGGCAAGTGGAAGTGAGAGGCAAGCCCTATTCAGCCAAGAAATTTCACTTGAAACTCCATTTTTCAAAATGCAGAATCCTGAGGACACTACAGAAATCCATGATTTCCCTGTATTTTTCCCTCAGTGGAAAAGGGAGTAAAGTGGTTTTGGTACAGACTGTATTTTTGAAAGACTTTGCACTTTTCAGATAAATGACAAGATACAAGATGTGGAGCAAGATGAAAACAGAAATATTTTATGTTCTTAGGAAATATATTTATTTGAAGTACATAGCAAAATTTATAAAAAGTGTATATGCATATGGTATTAACATGGACAGATTTTAGGCTGTTTTATGAATAACTGTTGTACTATCTCCACTCTATAGACTCAGTCAATCTTGGACACCTTACTACTGTGATGCCCAAATATTATAATACTTCATTCTGAAAGAAGTAAGTACCAGGCATCAATTAGTATTTTAGCTTTGGAGATAAGCTACATAGGTGGATTTTAAACTTTTCTGGATGCTGGACAACACACTGGATAGCAAAAATGAAGAAAAATTAACCTTTACTCAACTGTAATTGAGTATAGTTAAAATACTATCTATCAAATTTAAGGGAAATTTTTGCATTATGAATGGCTATTTCCAACAAAACATCAGCATTTCTTCCCACTGGTGAGATATTATATATTCTATGCATCTGTTTTTTCTGATAGAACTTCATTTTGTTGCAGATCTGATTGTCTGCTTTCATGTCAGATCTATATGTTGTCACCTTCTTTATGTCACAGGGGAAAACAATGAGGTAGAAAAGTGTATATATAAAGTAGATTCATAGATAAAATATATTTTGGCACATATCAAACAAAAGAAATTATTTATTCAGAGGATAAAAAAAAATTTTTAAAAGAAACAAAAATGCACCTAGAGAAGAAAAATAATGTTCTCAGAGAGGAGACTGGCAAAAAAGATAGAAATGACACTACAGGCTTGAGGATCAGAAAGGCTTCAAATTACCCTCATGCCAATCCATCACTGGTGCAGGATTTGACAATTAATTCTTTGGGAACTGCTGAGTTAGATTGAATCAAGCAAAGACTCCCTGACCTATACCAATATGATGTGATAATAACACCAGCAAAAGCAGAAAATGTACTGGTTGTGAATCATACTGGCTATCTAGTCTTCAAATCTACATAATTTTTCTTTCTGTCATTTACATATACTTTATCCCTAATTTTAATGCACTTCTTGATTTTTGGAAACCTTCATTATACTCTAAGGATATGGTAATATTACACTTTATAGTCTCATAGCTATCACTCAGGCCACTTGGAAGAATTGTTCATTAAGCATCATGGAGAGAACTTCTGGAGATCTAAGTGGCAAGCTGTCATGTTCCAGCAAAAGTAGTTAAAAAAAGAACGCTAACTGGGTCAGCTCCAGAAAATGAGTTTTATTACTGTGCTTGCTACAAACAGAAAAAACACAGTCCTTAATTGAATATGGAAAAATAGAAATCAAGTCCACAAGGAACATGACAAATTATGAACAGTTTTTTTGTACTATGGTTCACATACACCTACAATAAATAAATTTCTGATAAGAATTTCTGGTTTTCTATTTTCATTCTTTCAGGATACCATGCTATTTTATGCTTTATAAGACTGGGGTATAGTTAAGTAGGATTTTTAGTTAGAACGCTGACACTGTTTTATCTACATAACACAGATGTTTTTTGAACAGTGGAGTGAATTGTTAGCATTGCAAAACAGCCTGTTTTTTTTAAACAAAAATTACTCTCAAAATTGCAAGTTTCTGTTTCATTTAAAAAACAAATTGTGTGCATCCTTCATCTAATTTAATTTAGTAATATTCCAGTATGATGTTCTCTGCACAACTATTCCCTGGCAATTCCAGTAAAGAAACATATTATATAATACAAGTTTAACTTCTCAAGTATCTTCCTAAATACAAGCAGTGTGGAATAAATCATTCACCAATTTAAGAAAAAAATTCAGAAATCTTTAATGTTATACTTTTATGACATTCATTTCAATTCTATTTAATATTATCCTAGTATGATTTTTTTTCCCCATCACTGGATATTTATGCTGCAATCAGCTCTTGAACTATCTTCATAATGAGAGTGAAATATATTTTTATATTAATTTTTTGTATGAAATATCTACCAAATTTTATGAAAAATTTCCTAGAAATGTCCATTTTTGTCTGATGACTAAGATGGTAGCCCAGGTAGAGTGTTACTTACTTTATGGGAATTTAAACACTGGTGAAATTAAAACTATCACAGTGCTGACTTGTACCCCTGTGATCAACACCTCATTGTCTCTCTGACATAATCTAACTCCTACTGATACTGAAAATTTTTCAAGACCTTGACTAATTTTCAGTTTGTTCATCATGTTTCTTCAGTATCTTGCAAAATGAGACTATAACTACACAAGGGAATCGGACATACTTACCTGACTAGTGTTTCACATAGGCATGGAAATATGCTCAGCTTTGTTCCAGAAAAATAAATTCATTATGCTGTGGGGGAGAAAAGCTTAATGCAGGCCCTTAAAAGCCTTTATGGGAAGCTAATGTTCTTTTCATTGAAATAAGAGAAAAAAGTGCTGCACATGTCTGCAATTTTACCTATTAGAGTTGTTGCATAACCTTTCTGCTTCGGGAAAAAGTTATTTCTTCAGAAGGAAGTCCCCCAGAAGAGGCAGAAAATAAGAAGACACCAACTCGTGAAAAGGCAGCCATTCCTAAATACAATAAAAATTAATGAGACCAGGATAACACAAAGAAAGAATTTCCATTAATTAGTTCTGCATGCACTTTTTTGCCTTTGGTGGTATCACTTAAATGACATATTACAATCAGACACTAAGTGTTGCAAGTGGAAGATAGAATCATCCATTTAGCCGAGTGAGGTCTTTCCTGTATTGACACCAGCAGCAGACCTGGAGAAAAAAATTCTGAGATTATAATCATGGGGCCAGCCATCACATAAACAGCTACAGCCCCTTCTGTAGATTTTCTAAGGTATAGCAAAATGTTAAGAGGTTGAGCTTGCATAATTTATTTTCTTGTACAGGGAAGGAAGGAAGATGAGGACTACGTGAGATCATTCTCAAGTTCTACTTTGAGAATTTCCCCTGTCCTCATATGTGGTTTTCTACAAGCCTTTAAGGTTTTTTGAGAGAAGGCATATTGAAATAGGGCAGTCATTCTGCTGGGCATGTAAATATCATGAGGTCAGAAAGAGCAAGAGGGAATCTGATCCTGTAAATAGAGTGGCTTGAGCTGTCAGCATTAATGGGGTGATCCAGTGGCATGAAGACACATCATCCAATGTACACTGACTGAGTGAGCACACTAAAGGAGCATCATGTACTGGCTAACAAGACAACATCTAAATAAGGCACAGTAATTTCTATATGCTAAGAGTCTGAGAAACACAAATGAGCTTACAAAGTGCTCTCAGGATGATGAACTTGAGAGCTCAGGTTCATGAAAATTAGATTACTAGGATTCCAGATGAGAGCTGGCACTGAAAATAGACAGTAAGAACAGAGACTATCTATGCAAATCTGTGCAGATGTATCTTCAGGAAGTCTAAATTATGCAACTGGATGATTACAGTGCCCAAGTTACATGACTGATGTAGACAACCAGAATCCTCCCTCAGGTATCCCTTGTGGTTACATGAGAAAATGACTCGTTAGGCTGGTTTATTAAAGAGAGCTCAACCTGCCTTTCAAATAATGACTTCAGTTTTTCACCCCAGATAGTTTTGCTGATCAATGCTTCAGATAGCTTTAGTCATATACTTATCTATATTTTACTTATTTATATTTACTTTTACATATTTCAAGCTCTTGTAACTGAAATCAGTGTAATTCTGTTAAGCTATCAGAATGAAAGTATAGAAGCATGATTTCTTTTTTTTCCCCATTACCTTTCTCTGAGCTTGTGTCTTATCCAATACAGCATTTTGAAATCTTTTTCTTCAGCTCTATTAGCAGGAGATTTACATTTCTAACATTTTTTCTACATCATGATTCTAGTATTGTCTATAATAAGCCTTTACTAGCTCTTCATTGATATTTAGAAGAAATCCATATTTAGAAATTTTGTAACTCAAGTAAGATGAAGTTCAATTTTTGTACCGACATGGAAATGATTAAATATGTCTGAGAGCTGACCAGTGAAGAAAAAAATTAGTTCAAGTTCTAATTTTTCAGAAATAAGAACAAGCAACATAATGGAAAGTGACTTGTGACTTTACCTACAGTAAATATTAATAGCAATATATGTGTAACAGGTATATAAAATTTTCCTTTGCAGATGAATGTAATGGAAAATTTAGCAAGTTATATTAGCTGGCACTTTTGCAGAAGCTTGTTACTTGATTTGAGTGAGCACGAACGTATCAAGTAGGCTCCAGAGTCTTGCTTTGCTTTCATTCCCAGAAGCAAGGACAGGATGTTTTATCACTAATGAACAAGTGATCTGATTAATGTATAATGATCCTTGCTAAAAATGATGTTAAGGGAATGTTAAAGTTGCATGGCTAAGCACTGAGAGGCTCAGTCCCAGCACACTAAAATAAACAGACTAGATCTTCATGGACTCAGGCTTTGGATCAGGTACTTTAAAAGTAAGAGAATTTAAATGCATGTACTCACAGGATACTTAATACTGTGTATGGGTAGATATAAAATAACACTTCAAATAGATGAGAGATTTTTTTTTTCTCTCTTCTCCCCAGTTTTCAGGGCAACTTGAGTACCTTAATGAACTGTCCTGCCCCTACCTCCCCCCTACAAAATAAAAAAGAAAACCAAAACACAAACCCAACAATTTGTCTAAATAAAAAGGTTTAGCAGAAATAGAAATGTCTGAGAAGAAGTATTTACATTGGGTTCTTTACATTGAGTCTTTCTAGATGCATCTCTGTGGTGTGGTACTTGGGCTGCCCACCAACATGGTGAGAGCAGCCTGAATGCAACTGTGGAGAAAGGCAAAGAGCCTGGAGTCATTTAATCGTGAAGTAATTTCACAGAATCACACAGAATCACAAAATATGCTTAGTTGGAAGGGACCTACAGGGATCAGTGAATTCAACATCCAGCCTTGCACAGGACATCCCCAGGAGTCACACCATGTGCCCTAGAGTATTGTCCAAACTTGAACTCCGTCAGGTTGGGTGCACACAGCATTTGAGGTGAGGCCACCCTAGCACAGAGTGGTTCGGGACAATCCCCTCCCTTGCCTGGCTGGCGATGTTGTGCCTGATGCAGTCCAGGACATGGCTGGCATTAAATATCCACAGTCAGATTGCTCTGTTGCTATTTAAACAAAACAAAAATTACTCACTAAAAAAACTTTATGTCAACTCTTCTGAAATGTGAAATTTCCCCATATATATGAAATACGTCTAATGTAGATCAACTTTGCTGAGCTTGATCAGTCACTGAAAGGACTGATAATTTACCATTACTTAATCTGGAAATGATAAACAAATGAAGGAAAGGCAGACTAAATGCCTGCATACAGGTATGTACTGTAAATAAAATAAAACATTTCTAGATAAAGTGATGGGATTTTGCCTGATCTTATAGGATATCTCCCTGTCAGGAAAGCTGCCCTGCTTGGAGTACAAAGTGGGGATGCTGCTATATGCTGAGTAAGTGTCACTCCTTCCTCTACTAGCCTGTCAATATTAGGGGTTCTGGAAAAACACAATCAGGTGAAAAAAACCCAAAAAAACAAATGTGGTTATTTGGATAGAGGCATGGTAAGAACAAGGCATCTGAGGCAAGAACTATCAGGAAAATCCAGTTAAAATTTACTGTATGTAAATTATTAAAAGCGTGGTGGGTTGCAATTCCAAATACTATCATGTCAAATATTTTTACATTAGGTGTCTGAATAGACACACTGCAACATTGCAGCAAAAATCTTTTTCTCCACTTTCTTCTATTTTTCATAGCCAGTGTTAAACTGCAACCTCTGGACATATAGTATTGTAAACCTTTTTAATGTGTTCCTTAACTAGAACTGTAATTTTAAAACCTTTTTGCTTCAGTAATGGGGGTAAGAAATACTAGAGAAAGGTTGTGCTTCCTTGCTCCCTACTTGGTGCCTTTTCAGTCTCTCTCCAGCAAAAGCTTTTTGGGGTAGGGATAATGTCATGTGGTGCTATAAGCTATTAGAAGAGATTCAAATGATTATGACTCTGTGTTATGCTCTATATTAACAATATCTACATGTCTGACATGATTATGTCCGCTATATTAGACCCAGGGGCACAACCTAGCTTCTATATCTGTATGGGAAACTTGTCTCTGACCGGCTCATCATGCAGATTAAAATTGGATCCTGCAGGAAGAAATCCTGTGTCCTTGGTTCTACAGATAAAAATTACTAATGCAGACTGGCCAGCAGCTGCAGCATGCTCTAATAGCTCTCTGACCCTGGAGATTAATGACTGTGACCTCAAGGCACACTAGTGCTCCCATCATCTAAGTCTGAATAGTCAGAAACATTAGATTTCCAATGGAATTACTTTCTATCTGTAAAGTCACCTACTGATAACAATCACTAACATGAAAATTCATATTCCAAAAATCTAATTCCAAATTCTCTCAGCAGAGAATACAGATCTTGGGGTTGTTCTGGTGCCTGTGAGGGGAGTGATCCAAGTATCAGTGGATATATACATTTTTTCCTGTTTTAAAACCAGAAGCTGTAACTTGATTTGCATTTTTTTCTGAGCTATGAGAAGATTTTACTTCTAAATAACATCAGCAGGAAAAAGAGCATTTAACATCTGACAGACAGGGCTTTTAGTCTGAATGTTTGATTTAACTTTGCCAAAGACTTTGCACCTCTGAAACACAAAGGCTGGATATCACTTGCTCTGTTTACACAACCATCACGTCTAAGCTGGTATCAAGAAACATCCCAGGGCACACTGGTGCATAATTCAAGTACATTAACATTTGTTTTAATTAATAGATTGACTACTGTATGAAGATAAATTAAGGGCAGATATCAGCTCTTTATTTCCAATTAATTAGCAACAAGCTTGTCCCAAATCACGAGCACTTCAAAATACATTTAATTCATAGTACTTGTGTCATATATATTCTAGAAGAAAATTGTTGATTATACTTTAGTTCTGTAGAGCTACTCTTACTTGGTTGGTTGCTCAATCCTCTGTTTATAATGCAACTTTTCTGCAGGGTAAGTGCATTAGCTAAGTCTTTGGTCAAAAAAGAAAAACAAAAAAGATTGAATATTCAAATCTTTCAAAAAGTTATTAACTTTGGTTACTCAAGAAAAAAAACTAATTAAACCTCTGAATGTTCTAGTATTTTTAATTTTAAAAATTCATTGAAAACTAAGTATAAAGCTCCACCAAATTATTGTCCTTCCTTAAGGTTCTGTTCCCGTAACATCCCAGGTCTCCAACACCAAGATCATCAGCCATCAGTAAAATTATATTGGGCTTTGAAACACTGCATGTTTTGATACTGTTTATGGCACACTGGCAAATTATTAGAAGTAAAAGGAGCCCCATCTTCTTCCTGGTGTGTAAGAACAGGTAGAAAATATAATAAATAGAGTGTTAATCTAATTTATTCTTATTACTATGCTTGGCATAGTAAAAGAAAAAAAAAGAAAGATTGAATGCTTCTAGACGGTGCTGTTTTTCTTGGAAGTTTTTCAAAGCATTTTGTCTCTCATACTTAAAAATAAAAATGCATATTTTACTATATGGCTCATTTTTCCTTCATTTCACTCCTTTACACAGATGAAGCCTTTAAATAAAGACAAATAAAGAACTAGGTACAACCTCAGTGGCAATCTTTCATATGTAAATGCACTATTTAGCAATAAATCATAAGAGCTAACAATGCTTGGGTTTTTTTTCTCTTCAAAATCTGGTTTGTTTTTTTTTTTTTGGTTTGGTTTCTTTTGTTTGTTTGTGGGTTTTTTTTTTTTTCTCAGCTACAAATGTTATTTGAGGAACACAGAATCTGAAATAATTTAGGACCTAAACCTCCAAGGCTCACTGAAGAATAAGAAGTTAATCAATTCCACTAATGAAGTAAATTACTGAATTTCTCTTCAACAATTTCTCTTTTCAAAAAAACCCCAGCTGAAGTTTCTGGAAAGGAAAAAATACTATGGAAAAGATGGTGAAGAGATACACTATGAAATTATTGTAAGGAGTGTTTAAGAAAGGCTCTTCACTAACATTATAAATACCAGGGTTGAGTTGATAGCAAAATCAATTAAAAATATTTTATATCTTATCACAATGTTCTATAGAGAGTGCCCATGCCATATCCAACCTAAAACAGGAACAAGGATGTATTGTACACAATACAACATACCATTATACACTTTTATAGTAAAAGAAGAGTATTTGCAGACATGCATGATATTAACTCTGTTTTACCTTAATCAGAAGTTGTTGTGTTCCTATGTTAAACTGCATTGACCATGCCCTGGCTGAAACTGAGTGCCTTCAGGCTGTAATGGACTGTGCCAGGCACACACATTAAAAAGAACAGAGACTCTCTTCTGTCTCTTAGTAAGATTTCCATCTTTTCTGGATGCAGGCAGCCTTTTTAAAATGCAGTCAAGACATGAGTCACACCTGCACTCTGCATTATTCTCAGACAAGAAGTGGAAGAAACCAGGACTAAGAAATTTCTAAGTGAAAGAGTAGAAAAAGGAGGTAGAGACAATATTTTCCAGAGAGATATGGGATAGCTGGTCAAGAAAGAATAATCTTGTAAATCAATGAGTTATGGGTAATGAGATAATGTAAATGAAGAGAAGATAAAGAAGTCAATACTGAAAGACCTGGTACAAAGATAATAGGTATTAAGGGAGACAGATTCACAAAGAAATTAAGTGAGTAAAATTATTTGTCTAGGAGACAAAATAGGCAGAACTAGAAGAGTTTACTCTGACATTAAAAGCAAGAATGGAAGATGATAATCAGCTGGAATGAGAATTGCAGGCAGAAATGAGGGGAAATGGCACAGTATTAAGGAAACTGGAAGGGATGACAGTGAACAGGAAAACAAAACTGAGGAACAGAGGTGAGAGAGAACTGGGAATATCTGAGAGGAAAGAGCTGAGGAGTTATGATTATGGTCAATGAAAAGAACTGATTGGAAAGAATCTGGGAAGATAAGATTTGGGACTAGCATAAGTAAGAAGAAACCAAAATAGCAGGGATCAACTTAAACATACTGGGACTTCTGATTCCCAAATTCATTATTGCTGTTCTGTCAGAAAGTATAGGTACAAAGAGGGCTTTAACTCTTTTAGTATGTTAGCTATTTTTTTACTGCTTAAGATACATTTTATAGACACTTTGGTGATCATAGTTCTGGTTTAGACTTCAGCCAGAAGTCTCTAAAGATCCCAGCCTTATCACTGTTCTCTTGTTTATCCCACGCAAAGCAATCTACTTCATTTCAGACACAGAAAATAAATACACAAACAGTAAGTCTAAAAGAGCAAATGCATTTCTGCACAGGATACATCTAATTCATCCTTAATCAAATAACCATACTAATGAAGCTAGTATGTAGTACTACTACTACTAGTGTAGCCCCTACTATGGTGCAGACTTTCTTCCCCGAAAAGATAAACAAAAGTGATTTGCTTCCCATGCATCCCAAGAGAAGAATTAACACCCAAATTGACCCAAGAGGACAGGAACAAACGGCAGCCAGATCTTATGTTCCTACTGTTATGTTCAGACTGCAAAGGTGCCAAAGGCCAACGGCAGTGGGCATGTTGAAAATGGGAACATTGTATGTTGGTGACATTATGTAGAGAGTTGCATGGAAGCTTGCAAGACCAGCAGAAGGTAGCCTCATTTAATACCTCAATTTCTCATTTTCTAAATCAGCCCAAAAAGTTATTGAATGTTGCCTCTGATACAATACTGCTGGTACTTCCCTACTGTGCAGGAACATCTGTAGATACTCTCACACATTGAGCTATTTGCTTTCACCTGATATCATGTCCCTGAAGTGAAATCAACAAGGAAACAGGGAAAAAAATAATCCAAACAACTATGATTTCTGGTGTACTCCTTCTGCAGCAGATTTTCATGTGTCTTGAAAGGATGTGCATAGAAAGCAAGAAAAATCAGATGGATGAAATTGAGTGGAACAGACAACAGCAAAGAAATTCAAAGGAGTTAAAAGGGAAGGACGTGAGAAGAATGAAGCTCTGAGAATGCTGAGGGCTGTCTATATTACACCAGGGTTTCTCCTGGTGAAAACATAGGCATGTGTAAACCTAACAGAAAAATGATAACACAAAATTAGATGAAGCTTCCAGCTAACTAATGTTTCCTCTCAGTCCAGAGCAAATTCAAATGCTTAAGAGAAGATTTAAAACAACCTGGCAAAAAATTATTTTACTAGCACAGCCTTTTAACTTTTGGCAGTCAGCATTAAAGGCCTTTTGGAGAAGAGAACATTGTAATGAATATCTCTCCATGGATCTTTTAACCTTCATGGATTTGTTACAGTCTATTTTTAATTTATTAACTTGTGGTTTGGTTTGATTTCTTGCGTTGAAATAATTTGATTCTATTTTTTTTTAGTTCTGTAACACTTTTTAGATGTTCCTTCAGTAGGCATCAGTTTTGAAAGTTTTTTTTCATATTCATCTGGCATCACTTTTCCTTCTTTTTTACATGTGGGACATGTAAGTGCAAGTTTTAACCTCTGCTTCACTTTCCCCATGATATAATAGAACTAAAAGTAGTTTCTCTCTTTCTAAGGTGGCTGATAAGTTGAATAGATTCAAGAGGTGCTTAATCTCCTATAAAAATAGCCACATAAGAATTTGTATTTCACATATCCTATTTCAACCTACAATACTTAAATCACTGTATAGGAACCTATAGACATGAATGCATACACACACAGATATGTCAATATGCACATATACACATGTATGTGAGGGTATTTATAAATGTCCTACTTTTACTACATATCTCCAAATTGTATTTTTGGGATTCTAATACATATTTTCTACTAGCATTAAAAAAACCTAAAGTATAAATACGTAAGAATAAATGAATGAAAGAAAAATCCCAAACAGATACAATCCACTATTTCACCAAAGCCTTCTTTTACGTTTTTATTTCCTTCATTTAAAAATGCTGGTCAAAGACTGGTTTTTTGTTTTTGTTTTTGTTTTTTTTTGTTTTCTTTTGCTTTTTTTGTGGGTTTTTTTTTTTTGGTGGATTTTGTTTGTTTGGTTTTTGTTTGTTTTTCTTAAGTTAGGATAACTGACTTAAAATATGGCTGTCATAGAATTATAGAATATCCTAAGTTAGGGACCTACAAGGATCATCAAAGTCCAACTCCTAGCCCCGCACAGGAAATCCCCAAGAGTCACACCATGTGCCCGTGAGCATTATCCAAACACTTCCTGAAATCTGTCAGGCTTGATACTGTAACCACTTCCTTGGGGAGCCTGTTCCAGTGCCCAACCACCCTTTTGTGAAGAACCTTTCTCTAATATCCAACCTAAACCTTCCCTGGCACAGCTTCAGGCCATTTGCCCGAGTCTTGTCACTGATCACCAGAGAGAAGAGGCCAGTGCCTGCTCCTACTCTTACCCTCAGAAGGAAGTTGTAATTGCAATGAGGTTTGCCCTCAGTCTCCCCTTCTCCAGGATGAACAAACCAACTGATCTTAGTCACTCCTCATACGACTTCTCCTCAAGGCCCTTCACCATCTTTGTTGCACTCCTGTGGACTCTAATAGTTTGATGTGTTCCTTATACTGTGGCACCCAAAACTGTCCCAGCACTCGAGGTGAGGCCACCCAAGCTCACAGCAGAGCAGGACAATCCCCTCCCTTGCCCAGCTGGCCATGCTGTGCCTGATGTCCCTCAGGACAGGGTTGGCCCTCCTGGCCACCAAGGCACTGCTGGCTCATGTTCAACTTGCCATCAACGAGGACCCCCAGGTCCCTTTCCTGGCACTGCTTTCAAGCCTCTCATTCCCCAGTCTGTCCATACATCCAGGACTGCACCGTCCCAGGTGCAGAATCTGGCACCTGCCTTTATTGAACTTCATATGCTTGGTGATTGCCCTGTGTTCTAATTTGTTGAGGTCTCTGCTGCGTTTCTCTGCCTTCAAAGGAGTGAACAGCTCCTCCCAGTTTAGCATCATTGGCAAGCTTATTTAGTATACTTTCCAATCCTGCATTGTTTATGAAGATGTTGAAGAGTATTGGGCCTACAATGGAGCCCTGTGGAACCCCACTAGTGACAAGTCACCAGTCACTCCATTCCCTGTAACCCCTTGCACCTGCACCTGAGCCAGCTGCTCACCTGCCACACGATGTCTTTATCCACTTGTGCGCTGGATAACCATCTGACTACTACAGATACATGCATCTTTACAAGAACAATTAGATGAAAGTCTTTAAAAATCTCTTCTGAACTGAATAATCTCAGCATTTTTACTAACTTTGATTAAGCAATTTATCTGCAAACTACCCTTTTAATGTAACAGAACCCTTTGAGAAATGCTTAATATGCTTTATCCTTGAAGGAACGGTATTTTCTG